CTCGCCAGGCACCAAACTAAATTGCACCGCAACACACTGTACCGCACGGCACCGCATTGCACCATCTCTCACCTTCTGGACAAAGTTGATGTACCCCGTGGCGCCATGGGTGAACTGTGTTCCGCCCCCCGGAAACACGAGCTTGTCGCCCTCCATGGCCACCCAGTTCTGGTCCTTCTTGTAGCTGGCCAGGCCTGGGTGCGGCACGTTGTTGTACCACACCTGTTGAGCGGGGTAAGGGAGGGGCAAATGTCACGAAATGTGGCACGCCTTTGAAATCTTATTGAAGCTCGCCAGGCCCGGGTGCGGCACGTTGTTGTACCACACCTGTTATTGCGGAAGGAAAAAGAGTGGGGAGGCAGGTGGGGAAGGGGGAAAAGAGGGATTCGGTGACTTCGAAGTGGAGTGGCACGTGAATTGGTGACTTCCAAGTGGAGTAATTACTTAGATGCAGGAGTGGAGTTGAGTTGGGGGAGTTGGGGAGGAACGGAACAGGAGACAAAAGAGGCAACAGAGAGTGACAGGGGACGACTTTGAGTGACAAGGGGGCGAATAACCGGGAATGGAAAGAGTCCCAAGTGGCTCTTTCGGTGTTCTTAAGTCCACCAGTACATCAAACTATATCACCGCACTCCACCGCGTCTCACCTGGTCTCTGCTCTTGGGCCACAGAATATGTGCCTTGTATTGTACCCCTTGGGCAGCGGCACCAGGCATTTCTCCATCTCCCCAGGCAGCAGGCAGTGCCTCTCCCGGTGCTCATAGTGCTTGTTCGTCCCAGCTCACCCCAATCTACCACATGTCACCACACTCCACCGCGTCTCACCTGGTCCCTGCTCTCGGGCCATGGCACATGCGCCTTGTACCCCTCTGGCAGCGGCACCAAGCACTTCTCCATCTCCCCAGGCAGCAGGCAGTGCCTCTCCCGGTGCTCATAGTGCTTGTTCGTCCCAGCTCACCCCAATCTACCACATGTCACCACACTCCACCGCGTCTCACCTGGTCCCTGCTCTCGGGCCACGGCACATGCGCCTTGTACCCCTTGGGCAGCGGCACCAAGCACTTCTCCATCTCCCCAGGCAGCAGGCAGTGCCTCTCCCGGTGCTCATAGTGCTTGTTCGTCCTCAGCGCCTTGATCGCCTTCTCATTGTCCAGACACGGCACCCAGTCCGTGCGGTTACCACCGCACGACGGCCAGCGGAACTTGGTGTTTTCGAGGTCAAGGGAGGGCAGGGCGCCCCCCCCCTCCTCCCCTGTGCCCTGCCCCACCGGCCCTGCCATGAGTGGCGGCTCTTTGCTCTCTGGGCTGCTCTGTATGATCGTTGCTCCCCCCTCCACCTCCCCAAAGTCGTCCTGATGCAGTGGGCGGGCGGTTGGGGGGTGCGGGCGCGGGGAAGAGAGGGGGGAAGAGGAGAGGGAAGAAATCAATGGCAGGGAAGCAGTTCAATCCGTGCGGGACCACCGCACGACGGCCAGCGGAACTTGGTGTTCTCAAGGTCCAGGGAGGGCAGGGCGCCCCCCCCCTCCTCCCCTGTGCCCTGCCCCACCGGCCCTGCCATGAGTGGCGGCTCTTTGCTCTCTGGGCTGCTCTGTATGATCGTTGCTCCCCCCTCCACCTCCCCAAAGTCGTCCTGATGCAGTGGGCGGGCGGGGGTTGGGGGGTGCGGGCGCGGGGAAGAGAGGGGGGAAGAGGAGAGGGAAGAAATCAATGGCAGGGAAGCAGTTCAATCCGTGCGGGACCACCGCACGACGGCCAGCGGAACTTGGTGTTCTCAAGGTCCAGGGAGGGCAGGGCGCCCCCCCCCTCTTCCCCTGTGCCCTGCCCCACCGGCCCTGCCATGAGTGGCGGCTCTTTGCTCTCTGGGCTGCTCTGTATGATCGTTGCTCCCCCCTCCACCTCCCCAAAGTCGTCCTGATGCAGTGGGCGGGCGGGGGTTGGGGGGTGCGGGCGCGGGGAAGAGAGGGGGGAAGAGGAGAGGGAAGAAATCAATGGCAGGGAAGCAGTTCAATCCGTGCGGGACCACCGCACGACGGCCAGCGGAACTTGGTGTTCTCAAGGTCCAGGGAGGGCAGGGCGCCCCCCCCTCCTCCCCTGTGCCCTGCCCCACCGGCCCTGCCATGAGTGGTGGCTCGTTACTCTCGGGACTGTTTGGGATGATCGTTGCTCCCCCCTCCACCTCCCTAAAGTCGTCTTGGCAGGATCAGTAGAGGGTCGGGCGTGATGGAGGGAGAGGGAAGAAAATAGAGGCAGGGCACTGGCTCAGTGCATGCGGTTATCATTGGAAAAACTGGACGAGGGTCAGTGGAACTTGGTGCGTTCGAGGTCGGCATTGGAAGGATGAGATGAGAGCAGCACCAACACTGCCCGCCGCCAGCTCTGTGATTCCTGGCTGACAGACCCGGCCAATCAGCAGTGGCTCTGTGTATTCTGGCTGCTAGAAATCAGGTCTACCCCTCCTCCTCACTCCTCCCCTCTCAACTCCTTATGTATTTCGACCTCTACCGCTCTACTCTTGAGTCGACTCAAAAATAGGCTCTACCGCTCTACTCTTCACTATTCCTCCTCTCAAACTTCCCACATTGCCTCTCCATCCCCTACCTCCGTCTGCTTGCTGTCCTGCTTCTTGGTGGCAGCTTCCCGAATGTCCAGCCTCGCTTCCTCCTCAGAATCTCGCACCTGAGACTCGAGCCCACTGCCTGCCTCAGAGCTGCTGCCTCTACCGTCACCTGCCCATCTCAACCGCTCTCTAGCCACACAAACCAAAGCCCCCTACCTCCGTCTGCTTGCTGTCCTGTTTCTTTGTGGCAGCCTCCCGAATGTCCAGTTTTGCTTCCTCCTCCGACTCCCGCGCCTGTGTCTCGAGCCCACTGCCTGCCTCTGAGCTCGTGCTCTCCGTGCGCAGGTCTGCTGCGGGCACGTTGGGGTCCGCTGCTGCTGCATCCTCTGAATCCCACGCTGCTTCCACCGCTGCGAGATCAGCAGAGAAGAACTGGGGAGGGGCAGAGATGGAGAGGTTGGAATAGGGCAGAGGGAGAGGAAGAAATACAGGGAAAACTTCAAGATGCTGCTCTCTGTGCGCAGGTCTCCTGCCTGCCTCCACGTTGGGGTCTCAAGCCCACTGCCTGCCTCTGAGCTCGTGCTCTCTGTGCGCAGGTCTGCTGCTGGCACGTTGGGGTCTGCTGCTGCTGCGTCCTCCGAATCCCACGCTGCTTCCACCGCTGCGAGATCAGCAGAGAAGAACTGAAGCAAGGGGGGGAGAGGAACAGGAGGGAGGGAAGGGGGGTGGGAAGGTTGGGATACGAGAGAGGAGAGGTTGGAAAAAGGTAGACAGAGAGGTTGGAGGAGAAGCTAGGGTAAGGGAAAGGGAGAGGGGAGACTCTGAGCTGCTGCTCTCTGTGCGCAGGTCTGCTGCTGCTGCTGCGTCCTCTGAATTCCATGCTGCTTCCACCGCTGCCAGGTCAGTGGAAAAGAACTGGGCAGGGGCAGGGAAGGGGAGGTTGGAATGGGAAAGAGGGAGAAGAAGCAATACAGGGAAAACTTCAAGCTGCTGCTCTCTGTGCGCAGGTCTGCTGCTGGCACGTTGGGGTCTGCTGCTGCTGCTGCATTCTCTGAATCCCACCCTACTTCCACCGCTGCTGAACTGGGCAAGAGAAGGGAGGAAGAGGTTGAGATATGAGAGAGGGACAAGTTGGAATAAGGGAGAGGAATAAGTTGGAAAAGGGGCAATTTGAGAGATTGAGAGGTGGGGATGGGATAATTGGTGCTGCTCAGCTCTCAGCCCAACTGCCTATCTAGTCCTCTAAGGTCATACCTATGCGTTCTCTTTGTCGATAAAAAAATCGCCTCATCACACGCCGGATTTTACTCTGAATCAACCCAAAAATCAGCCTGTCTGGCTCTAGTCCTCTAAGGTCGTACCTTGGAGTTTCCAGCAGCCTTCCCCCCTTCGCCCTCTCCCCCCTCCTCCGCTCCCTCCTCGCCTACTGCCTCAGCCTCCTCTCCCTCTCCTCCCTTCTTCCCCTGCACACCCTTCCCCCCCTTCCCTCCTTCTTCCTCCTCGCTTGCTGCCTCCTCTCCCTTTCCACCCTTGCTCCTCGAAGCCACATTCCCCCCTTCCTCTCCTTCTTCTTCGCCTTCTGACTCCGCTTCCTCCTCCCTCGCACCTCCCTTCTTCCCTCCTCCTCCACCACCTCCCTCCTCCTCTTCCTCCTCACTCGCCTCTTCAGCGCTCTCCTTCCCTCCATCCCCTCCCCTTCCTCCCTTTCCTCCTTTCCCCCCAGCAACAATGCCCTCCTCTTTCCCGCCTCCCTCCTCCTCCTCCTCCCCCTCTCCCTTCATCGCTTCCTTCTCGCCCCCCTCATCACCTCCCCCCTCCTCACTCCCCCTCTCCTCACCTCCCCCCTCCTCACTCCCCCCCTCCTCGCCTCCCGCCACTTCAACCCCCTGTTCGTCCTCCTCCCCTGCGGCTTCAGCGCCCGTCTCTTCTGCTAGCCCGCTGCTCGCCTCTGCCTCTACTGCCACGTCCTGACGAGGGAGGGAAAAATGGGGTGGGTTTCGGTTCTAAGGTTTCACTCTGCCAGCCCACTGCTGCCTCTGCCTCTATTTCCACGTCCTGAGAGTGATAAGAAGGCAAGGAGAAAGGAGTGGAGGGAAGAAGGAAGAGGCGGATAGAAGGAAGGGGCGGAATTTGTTTCCGAGGTTTCCAGCCAGACTCACATGAGACATCTCCAGACTCGCATGCGATGTCTCCAGCCAGACTCACATGAGGCAACTCAAAACACTCACCTTGGCCTTGGCTCGGTTCTTCGCCATCTGAATCGCCTCTGCTACTCTCACGTCAGCTTCCAGCCGCTGCTCTGACTCGCCACTTCACTTTCCCTGTCCCCGTTCCTTCATCGTCCCAAAATGCCCCATTAACCACTGCCTTTCCAGCCCTTCCCCTCCCCCCCTCCTCTCACCTTTGCCTTGGCTTGGTTCTTCGCCCTCTGAATCGCCGCTGCCACTTTCACGTCAGCTTCCAGCCGCTGCTCCGACTCGCCACTTCCTTTTCGCTCTCCCCGCTCCTTTGCCATCCCTAACGTGCCCCACTAACCACTGCCCTTCCTGCCCTCCCCCCTCTTCTCACCTTGGCCTTGGCTTGGTTCTTCGCCCTCTGAATCGCCGCTGCCACTTTCACGTCAGCTTCCAGCCGCTGCTCCGACTCACCCACCACGTCCTCCACCTCCTCCTCTGCCAATGCCTCCACGGCCTGGGTGGGGGAGGGACGAGGAGAACAGAACAAAAGGAGGGACGACACACAACACAGTATGTTGAATGGGTTACTGACGGCTCCCACTCGCCTGTCATCACGTCCCCCACCTCCTCCTCCGCCAATGCCTTCACGGCCTGGGTGGGTGGGGAAGGGGAGGGAGAAGGGGGGAACAACAGGGTGCGACGAGACACAGCGTGCGCTGTTGTCAACCGTGGGGACCGACTGCTTATGCCCACCACGTCCCCCACCTCCTCCACCAATGCCTTCACGGCCTGGGTGGGGGAGGGGAGGGAGAAGGGGGGAACAACAGGGTGCGACGAGACACAGCGTGTGCTGTTGTCAACCGTGGGGACCGACTGCTTATGCCCACCACGTCCCCCACCTCCTCCTCCACCAATGCCTTCACGGCCTGGGTGGGGGAGGGGAGGGAGAAGGGGGGAACAACAGGGTGCGACGAGACACAGCGTGCGCTGTTGTCAACCGTGGGGACCGACTGCTTATGCCCACCACGTCCCCCACCTCCTCCACCAATGCCTTCACGGCCTGGGTGGGTGGGGGAGGGGAGGGAGAAGGGGGGAACGACAGGGTGCGACGAGACACAGCGTGCGCTGTTGTCAACCGTGGGGACCGACTGCTTATGCCCACCACGTCCCCCACCTCCTCCTCCACCAATGCCTTCACGGCCTGGGTGGGGGAGGGGAGGGAGAAGGGGGGAACAACAGGGTGCGACGAGACACAGCGTGCGCTGTTGTCAACCGTGGGGACCGACTGCTTATGCCCACCACGTCCCCCACCTCCTCCTCCACCAATGCCTTCACGGCCTGGGTGGGGAAGGGGAGGGAGAAGGGGGGAACAACAGGGTGCGACGAGACACAGCGTGCGCTGTTGTCAACCGTGGGGACCGACTGCTTATGCCCACCACGTCCCCCACCTCCTCCTCCACCAATGCCTTCACGGCCTGGGTGGGTGGGGGAGGGGAGGGAGAAGGGGGAAAACGCGGAGGAGAGAAAAATACAGGTGAGATGAGACACAGCGTGTGCTGTTGTCAACCGTGGGGACCGACTCGCCCACCCACCACGCCCTCCACCTCCTCCTCCGCCAATGCCTCCACGGCCTGGGGGGGAAAGAGGGAGAAGGGGGTTGGGGGTGGGGGGGAGTGAAGGGGGGGAAAACGAGGAGAGCAAAACACAGGGTGAGACTGACTGTTGTCAACGGTGGGGACCGATTCGCGTATCTCGTCCTCCGCCTCCTCCGCCGTCAACGGAGACGGTGTTGTCGCCTATCTGTTGGCATTGCCTCCACCACCTGGTGGCGAGGAGCACAGAACAAATAGAATCACTGCGTTGTTAGTCGGGGATAAGATGGCGAACGCTCCGAAGAAGACGAGGACGACGGCGGTGGTCACCATGATCCACACGTTCCATGACGCCGACAGCGGTCGAATCACTCGAATCATCGGCTCTCAGGTGTCTAAGGGAACTTACTGCGCTATTGGTGGAGGAGAAGATGGCCCATGCTCCGAAGAAGACGAGGATGACGGCGATGGTGACCATGATCCACACGTTCCATCACGCCGAGGGCGATCAAATTACCTGGTTTCAGGAGTCTAGAGGAACTCACGGCGCTATTAGTGGGGGAGAAGATGGCCCAGGCGCCGAAGAAGACGAGGATGACGGCAATAATGACCATGATCCACACGTTCCATGACGCCGAGAAGGTGCCCGACGACCGCGCGCCGTGCCGCATGGCTGGCTGCCAGACGGAATCTGGTTAGTGGCGTCAAGTCGGAACCGGTCTCGAGACGGTTAAGAAACAACTGGAGGAGTCTGAGATGGTTGCTGCAAGCGGATCGCTGCTATGGCGATCGATCGTTGCGGAGAAAGGGGATCATGAGTCGGTGACAGGCGCTACGCGGACCTGACAGACAAGGATGCACGGGAGGGTGTGACACAAGGAGAATAAGAGCAGCACGAATTCGGCGACAAAGTCACGCGTCGTATAAAAGTAAATATGTGCATTGATGAGGCAACATTGTCTTCTGTAAATGAAGCCTGTGCTAGTAATGAAGCTCCAACGAGTTGGCGCTTGTTGGAGCTGCACTGCACGGGGCCTGACAGCGATTTCAACAGCTCGACTCGTTGAATCGTCAATTAATCAGCGCCTACTCCCGTTGCTGCTGGATTCTCATGGAATCTAAGCTCGACTCTCAAGCAATGTTTGCGAAGATTCTCGTCAAGCCGAATCTACAC